AGTTACAGTTCATAGCGTTGTTCTCCAACATCGCAGCTGTTAATATTTTTCGATGCTTTGACCAGTACTGCACCGAACGGTGGTCAACTTGCTGGCATTCTTGATGTCCGTTTTGTCTCCTGAAGGGTTATCAACTAAACGGCTTGTCCAAGGAAATTCTTGGCAAAGCCTTAGCTGTTCTAAGATGTCTTTAGTATATTTAAGAGTCACGGTCTTGTCCAAAAAGTTACGACTTCTAAAACCTTTACTCGTACATTTGCTTGCAGGAGTCGAATCTTTGTAACTCGAACTTAGTTGTACTGTACCTTATTTTCAACTTCAAATGTAGTATTGTTTGATCAAAGAAAAAAATTTTTTTTCTGCACAATTTAATGCTTTTTACATGTCGCTCCTGAGTAATGAAAAATTCTAATGAAGACGTGGACCGCACTTGAAAGTAGAATATCCCAGCGAATTTTCAGCCTCGCAGTTTATCAGGCAAGCGAAATATTCACTTCGCTACAAATACTTTTGAAATGCCTTAAGTCATGACGAAAATAGCTATTAGGGTGACCAAAATGCTTTTACTTCAGCCACCTCAAGATTCCCTAGCTCTCGCTTAGAACTGAATACAGCGAGCCCAATTTTTCTATCCTTTTCAGCTTTTATTTGGATCCATCAGGTACATTTGTTGATTGCATGGCAAAGTCGATTGGTGCTGCATCGGATGGAGCTGAACAGAGCTTGAAGGAAAAGTATCATGAGGTGATTTTTCCCAGAATCATTTTTTCATTTTTCACTTTATTCGTTTCTTATCAGTACTGGATAAGACAAATTTTTTAAACAAATATATCGTATTGGCAACAGTCGTAGGGCGGTGGCTATTTGCTTGATAGTTAGTCGTACAGGGAATTCTGAAAATTTTTGATTCTGGATGCAAAAAAGGCACGAGGGTACCTCAAGAAGGAAGAATATGACTCGGTATTTTTTGTTTGATTGCCAGCGGATAAAGTGATTAACGGTTTTTTTGTAGTCGTTAACGCTTGCCGAAGCAAAGAAGATTGCGCTGGCCATCCTGAAGCAGGTAATGGAAGAAACGCTTACAAGTGCGAATGTTGAAGTGGCTTCAGTAACACCAATCAAAGATAGCGCAGGTTCGTTTCCACTGACAGTTTCGGGGGGAAAGGAGGGCAGCGATTGATGTTTCGGCACAGTTAGCAGTTGTTTTACTGTAGAAAACTCTTTTCAAGACCCACTCCCTCGCCCACAGAAGTTCTGCTTTCTTCTCGCCATCCCCCTCTCCGGATCATCACCGCAGTTTAGGGCCAATCTGCAGAGGGGGGGGG